ACACACACACACACACACACACACACACACACACACACACACACACAGAACAATTCATGTATAAATACTTGGAGGCCAAAATGCTTGACTGTTAAAATATGTTGCTTGAACATTGTCTTGACTTTGTCCAGTTGTGAGGAAATAAAGAACAGTCTGTCACTAGAGATAAGTACAACTGCACCTTCTGCTGTCAGATCCTCTGTAGAATCCCACTCTCTTCTGTGGGATGCCACTGACTCTTTTTCAAAGCCTTGAATGGCAAAGAGCTCTGAAGTCAGTGAAAGATCATTCTTAATCATTTGCCAAAGGCAATGGAAGGATTTGCTGAACTTTTGATATAACCCTGTCACTGGGTAGGGCTTATGAGTGAGAAAAGATGGAAATACTTTGTTCACTGACCATGGCTTCTGACTGTTCCTTATCAGATCACTCCTGACTTAACCTTTTCTAGAACTTGAAGTTATTTGGACAGAGATGATATTTGTGTCTTTTTCATTTAAGACAAAAAAGAACTGTACCTGAGGGATATTTTTTAAGACTATACCATCCCCCTCACACACACACCAAATAAACAAACAACATAAAGCAGAGGAAAAACGTATCACTGGCTTGGCTAGAACCTGAAGATGTTAATGTTTCTATTCCCCTCCCTAGGTTAAAGATGTTACCACTCAGAAAGCTCTGAGAGAACCTTATTGCGGACTAGATTTCTTGGTGTCCTGGCTCAGGGCCAAGGTGAAACCCTTCAAAACAAGGGCAAATCGCTTAATCTCTTTAGCTTTTCAAGAGCTCCTGACTAGGCAGAGCACAATAAGAAGTGGTGTGGTGAAGGCTGCCCTTGATTGTCAGTGTCTCTAGGAAGAGTCAGTTAATATGCTGGTCTAAATCTGCTTTCTTTTTAAATCTTGACATTCTTGTGGTGCCTTTGATGGGATCAGATAGTCTTCTGTTACCTAGCATAACTCAGCCTCTGCTCTGCTTCTACAGTTTGTATTTCCAAGCCACACTTGGAGGGAAGCATCACAGTCTGGTTGCCAGGGTAACAGCCACTGTTCTCTGATGACAAGCTTGAGGAAATTGATGTTTTGCTGTTCAGTGATGGCACTGTTATTGGGCAGAAAATATTCTTTCTTAGTTTCAATTGTTATTCCAAAGACTCATCTGAAGCATCTCCCTGCCAAGTCTGGAAAAAGTTTTAATAAGCTGTTACACTGCCCATAAACTTTTTGCTCAGAGACCACTGGATTCAGTACTCTTCTTCAGTTCCAATTCTAAGAGATTTGCTGGCTGACATAATAAGCTGACTCTTTCTGGAAGTGATTAAGCAGAGACTTGTGTATGTTTCTTTTATTGTCAAGGAAATGAATTCTGCATTGAAGCCCGGCTCAGACAACTATTTTTTTCTAAATGAGAGTCTCTCCATGTTGTCTTGATAGCCTTTTATACTGATTCTCCTGTCTCAGCTTCCTAGGGTGTTAAAGGCATGTGATAACACACATAGCTCCACTTCAGATTAATTCCAATGTTCCTGTCAATTCCAGATCTACAATTTGATTTGTCTACTGCAATAGTTAAATGGCAATGCACTCCACATTAGAAGCAATAGCATTTCATTGCCTTGTCAGAGATGGTATACTGTCTCAGACACTGTGTTGATGAGTGATTGCAAAGACAATGGCTATTCCTTCATGTATCCCTAGTCCATGTATTTCTTACCTAAATGTACATCCTCAATAACACCTTACTGTGTGCTGAGCTTCCTCTAAGGAATTCAACCAGCCTCCATTATAAGATAATATTTCTGTGATCATCATCTTTCTGTCTGTCTTTATTTCTTCAAGGCTTTATCCTCCGAGGAAGTAAGACTCAACTTACACACCCTCTCTGTTTTGAAGGAACAACCTACTCAATCAGCTGCACTCACATTAGGTGGGGTTCCGGAGTCCAGAGCAGGACTGACTCTTTCCCACTTTACTTCTCACCTTCTCTCTTTACTTCTCAGGTGATCAAATTGTTCTTACACAAACATACAAAGTATGCACAATGAAAACCCAATAACCTTGGAAAGAGGAGCACCAGCCTAGGTATGAACTGTTGCATAATAGTGGGTGTCATCAGAATTCACAGGACTTGTCTACACTGACAGGACTGCCACATCATTATTACTTGATCTTCCACGCTGAAAGTAGACAAAAGAGTTATTATTGTCCCTGTCTTACAGAGGATAAGGTGGTGATTCATGGTGACATGCCCAATTCTGCAGAGTTCATCACAGACTGAGCTGACATACAAACCTGGCTGTTTGGACTCCTTGTCTAGTATGCCAACCTCCTGACTCCTGTACCTACATACATGCTTCTAACAGTTCTCTTAGTGACTTGAGATGGGAAAAAAAAAAAAGTTAACAACAGTTCAGTCAAACTGAAAAAATACTTCTGTGCATCTTATCAGTTTACTGGTTACTATGTTACATGGTGAGTACACAGGGCAACTGAATCTCCTTTCATTGCATATGTGTTCAGCTGCTACTTTTCTCTTTCCCAAATGTGAGCAATATGTACATATCTTTGTAGCATCTTGCTTAGGCAAAGACCCTTATGCTCCACACACCTTACTCTGAACAGACACTGCTGGACACCAGAACTTCACAGCCTCTATCCTTGTGGAACACAGAAAAGCCCTCGGGTCTCAGTCAATTTAACAAGAGCCCTTAGATAGAAGCCACTTTGTTACAGCAGGGATTGTGGTTAAGTCCATGATACTTACTAGAAACATTGAGCTGTATGCCTGTGCTCACATACACACACACTCAAAAACACACACACATGCACATGCTCACACACACATGCACTTACAATCCTTATATGGTAAAAACCAGTGTGAACTGTATTTTCATTTTCTGAGCTTGGTATGTCCACTATAGGCACTGCCATGTCTGAGTCCAATTTTCTCCATTCCTCCACATACTATTGCCAAACATGCTCAGAGATTTGTATCAGGGAAGTAAGTATTTGATACATACGAGGGTTAGCCAATATTCATGTTGCTTCCAGTAGAACTAAGGGTTCTAGATAACCCGACCAGGGCCGTAAGAGAAGGCAAAGGAAAAAGGACAAAAAAGTGGGGGTGAGGAAGCCAAATGGTCACATCTGTCCTGTGAGCGTTCTCTCCAAGGTTCTGTGGGACTCCACAGGTACGGCTGGCATTCACTGGCAATGAAGCATTATGCTCAGTACAGCAAAGAAGGAGTTAATAAAATTAAATGCTAGGGAATTAAAACAGAAAATAAGTGCCAAAACACAACTTCTTCAAACCATTGGTAACCCAAAGCCCCAAAGTTGGAAAATCTCTTTTGAATTCCTGTGCCTGTATCTTTGCCGTTAAAGTTTTTGAAACTCACCCATGTCTTTGGCACTCTGATTCCAATTGTAGCCTGCTGGCTAGTCTGCTTTGCGGCTGACTTTGTTCAGCTGGAAGGAGCCTGGTATCTCCAGTCTCCTTCTTCTGTCCTTTACTTTTTCTCTCTGAGTATCTTTGTCCTCTTCTCCTGCAATGAAAAGGGCTTTTTGATTGACAGCCAACCCCCTTAAAGAGACAGGCTCGCTTTCCTCCTCCTCTCCTCCTCCCTTTCTCCTCCCCTTGTCCCCACCTCCTTCGGGATACTCCCTTCTTTAAAGGTTCCATCTTCTCTTTATGCCTTTCACTTCCCATTGTTTTAGGGTTTTTTTTTTCTCTTTTTTTTTCTAAAGCTTCCCTAGAATTTTATTTTGCTATAAAGTAATCTGGAAACGTGAATTGGAGGTGGGAATTAAATAGAGGGGTCCTTGAATCCTCCAACTGATCTGTGAGACTATTTGATGTGTCATTCCTCGGTTTGAGCATGTGAAGCCATGTGAAATGATAAGGGGGTCTGGACCAAAACCCTACATGCTATACTACCAAATATGCCCCACCAGGCTCTCAGTCCTAGTTGCACTTGACCCTGGAACCTTTTCCTCCCTCTGTTAGGAAAAAAAGCATTCTTCCTCCTCTTCCAGGCACTGAAAACAAAATAGGGGAAAATGCCATTTAAAATAATTTTGCTTTTAGAAGAATGAAGGTTAAAACAAACTGTTGATTCCATGAACAGATTGTGACCAAGCTCAAGAGGGCCAGAATTATAATGATTATATAGTTAGGTAACAAAAATACAAAAGAGAGGGCAAGAGCTGTGTCAAGGTCACAAGAAAAAAAAGGCCAGCATAAAAGATATAGGTGATTTTCAATGAGAATTAACTTTGAGACAAGATATTATCACAAAGTGGGAATCACTTAGTCAAAACTCTTCCCAGGAAATAAAGGGTTCTCATAGAAAGTGAAGACAAGACTAAGAAAAGCAAAGAGTGTTTGGGAGTGCAGCAGTCAGAGGTCAGGGGAGAAAGAAAATATGGTCTTTGTTTCAGAAAAAATTCTATGAAAATACTGGTCAAGCAGTAAAAATAAGGAATAATATATGAAACATCTATATTGGTAAGAATGATTTCTGAAGTCTATGAAGAGATCCAAGTGCCAAATATAAAAGGTGATTTAGCTAGGGAAAGTTTTCTAGAACTTTCTAGAACAGGCGAGGCTTAAGGAGCACTTATGTGGGTTCTTTGTCAATCTTCAGAACCCTGTGACAGTCATAACCTTCTTGATCTAGAAGCAACACTCAACTCCTAAATGTCTCTAAGGAAAGGTGTTGGTCTAAAAGAGTGGAGCTGACATTTTTAAACCCCTAAAACAATGAGGTATGTCCTCCTGATCCTGTCCTGTGGTTTTTGTCTTGAGATAAGAGACAACAGAAGGGGGGAACTAAAACCAGGCGAGGTGGTGAACACCTGTAATCCCAGTTCCCTAGGAGGCAGAGGCAGGTGGATTTCTGATATCGAGTGAGTCTACAAAGTGAGTCCAGGACAGCCAAGGCTACACAGAGAAACCATGCCTTGAAAACCCAAAAACCAGAGGAGGAAAACTGAGCAAAACCTAAAAAATTCCTGTGGAGGAAGAGAAAAAAATATTATGTGTTATTGTGTGTTCTAGACATCTTTTGGGATTGTGGTCTCTCACATGTTTGTGGCTAGTTCCACTGGCATCCGGAATTGTAGTGTGTGAGGCTGGTTCTAGAAGAAATTGTTTGCGCTTATACAAATTACAAGGCAAAGGATCCTTGTACCTGCCTCTGGCTGAACAATAAAGCAATAGCTTCCCAGGGCAGACAGGACTAACGCCATAACTGACTGCTTAGGTTCTTAAGACCCAGGCCTTCCCAGCCTGCCTTCCAGACACAGACTCTGCCTGCCATGAAAGTACAATTGTAGGATCTTTCTCATATTAATGGCCCTGGAGGAAGGGGGATGATGGCAAAAAGAATTGACCTTAAACTTTGGACATTCTGATATAGGGTATGAAAAAGATCTGTCACAGCTCAAATGGCCAAGGCAGATGTGTGTACAGGAAAAATCACTCAGATTGAGTTTTCTTGAGCACCACTTTCATTCTTAGCAGCATCTGGGACTGTCTATACTACTCAAAAGAAAATAATTCCCAGGTAAACAACTAGACACCAGTTTATCAACCATATTCTCCAGAAACCTCTTTTTTTCCTTTCCATGATCTCTACTGCCTTGTGCTTTATTTTATTTCTGTGCTATTTCTCTTGTCCCTCCCTCTCTACATCCTCTCCTTTCTCTCTCCTCACTGATGGAGCAGATCTTCCTGTTTCTGCACTGGTCTTATGCCCATGGCTAGGAAAGGCGCTCAGCCAGGTAACTATGTCACACTCTTCCCAGGGGCCTAAGGTCCCAATTCCCTCATATCCAGCGTGTTTCACTTCCTCTGCCCATCTGACAGTCTGCCTACACACTCCCTCTGCATCCTTATTCTAAGCCCTCCATACAGTCCTTAGAAGACTTATTTCAGGTATTTAAGAAGATCCTCATAAATTCCATCCACCTTAGCTGTGTCTGTGATTCTGGTTTCACTGGGTCTCCAAAATGAGCTGAAATGTTTTCAAAATGTTTTCGATTCCAGATGGACTTCTGCAATGCCCAAAAATTCCTCCAGAGGGCACCGACATCATGGTTGCAGTCTGCTGGCTGCCTGCTTTGGGAGCCTGTGAGGAAGAACAAAGCAGAACTGAATTTCACTAGTAAACAGTATACTTCATGCAGTTCTAGTAGTACCACTAGAGAATATGGGGACCCCCAATAATAGCTTAGTTTAATTGTGCAACCGTCTTCAATTAACTATAAAATATTTGGATATTACTTCTATTCTCTCCTCTATCATCCCATAGTACCAGGATCTTGAAGACCAGAAAGCAAGCAAGTTCTCTTTGCTCTGCTGAACTAAGACATTCAGATAAATCCAATGACTTTATTCATGAAAACTAGATAAGGACACAAGTGCCTAATCTGGTAGTTCAGTTCTCCATGTTCACTTAGATGATGGAAAAGGAAACAGAGAAGGCACAGTATCACCGAGTTCCCAGGCTCGACTGGTGGTATTTGAGCATCTGGAGCTGAGGCTTTTCTTGTCCTACCCAAGACCATGTCATCACAGGCCAAATTTGGAAAGATGAGTGGCTGATTTTACAGATTTTTCCAGTCCTGGCACAAAAGACTGGCAGAGTGTCAGGCAATGTGTTAAGCCCTGTGTATTTGCAGATAGAACTTTCCACAACCAACTTTATGCCAATTGGCTTGGCCATGCCTTTCTGTCCAAGAAAACTGAGGGATGAAGGCCAGAGATGTCACATTCTTTGATCATGCATAGTGTGTGTTGTGGGGAGTGTAAGGTGCTACTCTTCTGGTAATTCAAAGACCAATACAAGGATGGACAGAGCTGACTGGTAAACTGTATTTATAAGGGAGAGACGGAAATGGCTTGGGGTAGAATAAAGAAAGTAGCGTGCAAACAAAAATATTCAGGTAAATCAACTCAGGAAAAGAGCACCTGAGGAATGCCAAAGAGCCAGCAGCAGTGTGGAGAAACCAGCTATGCATGTAACCCACTTATAATCCTGAAAACTTGGCTGAAAACTCTAGCCCTAATAGAGAAGGTGCATATGTATGAGCTCTAATAACAACAGAAATAAAATTACTTCTGTGGTTGTCAATACTCACCTAACCCTAGGGAACACATTTTATTTTTTCCATTTGAGTAATGGGGTACAGAGAAGCAGCTTCCCCAGGGGCCATCAAATAAGCAAAAGACAAAACTACCTTTAGAAAATACCTCTGTCTGGATTCATTGCTTGGAACTTGCTGGTGCAATTGTTTTGCTCTGAAAGAATGCTTGAATACAGAGCCTTCTCCTTGAACAAGAATAGCCAGGGGGAGGATGGGCGGGCTTCTCTGGCTGCTATAGCCCAAGTTTCTAACCCTTCATACTCCTGAAAGCAAAGTATGAAGCGGATGTTCAGAAAGCAGTGGTTTTTATATATTTTGTTGGATTGAGATAAGTGGGAGTTATAAAAGACCACATAACAGAAAAGACTGTTGGTGCATTTATTAGGCATAAGCACAACGCCAAGGCTAACTGAGTATGAGTGTTGCTAGAGATCCACCTCTGAGCCTTAGTATTCAAACACTATTAAGTTGCATCCCCAGCTGTCAGTCTATTTTTTAAAGAGTCTTTAATTTAGAAATCTTTTTTTTAAATTTTTTTCTCCACAATTTATTCATTATATACCTCGATTGAAGCCTCCTCCCTCAACTCCCAGTCTTACCCTGCCTCCTTCTTTCCCTAATCCCCTTCCCCTAGTCCACTGAAAGGGTGAGTTCTCCTCCTCTGCCAGCTACACATAGCTTGCTAAGTCTCATCAGGACTGCCTGGGTCCTCTTCCTCCATAGCCTGGCAAGGCCGCATCACCAGGGGTGAGTGATCAGAGAGCAGTCAACAGAGTTCATGATAGAGGCAGCCCCTGATCCCCTCACTCAGAGATCCACATGGAGATTGAGCTGCCAATAAGCCACATCTGAGCAGGGGTTCAAGGTCCTCTCCATTCATGGTCTTCTGTTGGTGCATCAGTCTCTGCAGAACCTCCTGGGCTCAGATCTTTTCATTTTGTTGGTCTCTTTATGGGGCTCCTGTCCCCTCCACATCCATCTAATCCTCCAAATATCACAATCCCTGAGCTTTCCTACTCCAAAAAAATGCAGTAACAAGAGTCAATGAAATAACATTAGCCACATTTTGATAGTTATTATGACCACAAAAGAACACTGAGGTTTACTCCATTTTCTCTACTTTGTGTTTGATTAAAATATGAAGTCAGAAAAAGAAGAGTCATTACAGGGAAAATTCAGACTAAGCCAGAAACAAAAAAGGAAAACATTCCCAAGAGGTGTCTATTTCTGGAAGGGTGCACGTAGCCTCCTAAAAGTGGCTGCTTCTAGAAAAAAAGGTAGAAATTTGGAGATTAAGGGAACCCCCAACTCTATGCCTTTTAACTTTAGCATGGCTGTAGCTGGTATTTATACGTATTTAACGCTTACTTTATTAAAATTTTCACCTGAAAACTCCTTCATAGAGCAGTACACAGCTCACTCAAGTCTTTTCCACTGATTTCAGGTAGCCCCCAGCACAACCGTTCAGCTGGCCTCCACTTGACATCCCCTGCCCACACCCACTCCTCTGACTCTAGGTGCTGAACTCTCCTGCTCTCCAAAGAATTTCACTCCTGTTGGGTTTTCTCTGTGAAATCAGGCATAAGATGAGGGGCCCTGGATCTTGGAGTTGAAGTCACCTCGTGGCCTTGCTGAGCTGAATGGCCAGCCCCTGAATCAGGAGGTATATCTATCCTCTATGTTGGCCTAGCTTTTGCGGTCATGTGCAAGCGAAAAATGTTTTCTTTTGAAAACTGCAAAGTCTAAGAAGTCTTCCTCTTGGAGGACTCACCAAAGAGGGCCTTACTTGCTCCTTGGGTTACCCTTTAAAATCCTTCAGAATTAGAAGGCATTGCAATCATTTCCACAGACTGAATCCAGCAGCTTTCAGAAGGATTTCAGAGTACAATGATTCAGTCTGAAGCTGAACTATCAGAAAAACAAAAAACAAACAAACAACTAAAACCCTCACCGGGATGTACTTTTCCTGTGTCTATAGTTCTAGCCTGGCCTTAGAAAGTTTATTTAGTGCATTGCTTAAAAGACCCCTCTAAGGCCTTGCCCTTAGAAAAAGCCACCAGACCTAAGCCCAAAGAACCCTATCTTAGGGTTAGGAACTTTTTAACTGTTCTCAAATTTCCATAAAAGAGACAACACAGATATGGCAGTGGGAATGGATCTTTCCCTGAAAGCTTTGCTTGGAGAAACTGACTTTTCTTGTTTTGCTAGTTGTCCTCATTCCATGACAACTGAGCAAAAGAAATGTCTTTGAATGGCAGCATTCCAGATATGAGCTAGATATCAAGTGGCCTTCCACATGGTCAGGGATAAATATGAGCATAGAATACAGTGATTTCAAACCCAGATTCTGGAGCTGAAGATGGAGCACAGCGATCCACTGCTTGTAAGTACAGCAAAGCTCTTGGTTCAGTACTTATCACTAAAAACAAACAAAATCCCCAGCATCCTTCCTTCAAGGCATCCATAGATTCAGTTAATCATAAGGCTAAGCTAAGGCTAGCATTTCAGTTCTAGGACACTAGGCTATGATTCATCCTCTTAGCCTTTGCTTTTTCATTCTTAAAAAGGTAAAATAATAGTGGCAACCTCATATGGTTATTAACTTCAGATTTCACAACTGATCTTCCATTGTTATATTTTTGTTTGTTTCAAGACAGATTTTTCTCTGTGTCCTGGCTGTCCTAGAACTCGCTCTATAGAGTAGGCTGGACTTGAACTCACAGCGATCCACCAGCTTCAGACTCCTGAGTGCTGGGATTAAAGGCATGCACTACCATCGCCCTGCATTTCTATTATTATTATAGAGCAAAGAACCATCACAACTAATACAAGATTATGACATTCTTAACACATTGTCTATGCTATGGTATAAAAACAATAGTAATAATTACACTCTAGAAATGCTTGATAAACAGAAGCAGAGGCTGAACTTTAGTGATCTCTGGCACCAATAGCTTTCAGATCTAGGACTTCTAGATATCCTCTAAAACTTGCCTATCTTTAAAACAACAATTAGGAAATGTTCTCGGTAGGAATACTGAAATGTCTTGGGGACTCACTTAGCAGTTTCACCATTCATTTGTTGTTTTCCAAAATCTCCAGCTCTTATAACGTTAATCCCATTACCAGCTGCCAATTTGCCAGCAAGAAAAATATTTCCTAAGATGCAGGTCTTTCACTGTGAAAGCTGGATACATCCCAAGGAACCTGAGCCAGGTTGTTTAGCCTCCACCGGTACTGGAGAACTACCCTAACTCTGAACTTGAAGCAGTTGTCTCAAGAGTTGCCAGCCACAGCAGGTTGCAAGGCTTCTTGTGCTAAGGCCACACTGTGTGGGACAGTGACCCAGCATCCCATCCCTCTACTCTCTGAAACATTCTATCCAGAGAAGGGTTGCCAGATTAAATACACAATACACAATTGAATTTGTATTCCAGATAAACTGAATTATTGTTTAGTATGTGTGTCCTAAGTGGTGGATGGAACATGCTCACATTTTTAAAAAGCTCATTCTTTATCTAAAAGTCAGATGTAACTGGAATATCTTTTGATTTGTTAATCTGGCAATCCTACATGTCAGGGCAGTCAGCTGGAAATGGCAAGCCAAGCTGGCTTCTGGGGAAGGCACCAGGAGAGCTGCTAAGAAAACCTCCAATAACAACAACAACAACAAAATAGAGTTCCCTATAGACACATGATCTACTCTGAATTTCAGCACCAGTTCCTTCACCTGATGGGCCTGCCCTTGGCCTCCCCATCCTACTCTAATGTAAGGAAGCTCATCCTGGGTAAGAGAAATTGAGATGGCCCTAAGACAGGCTACACAATGCTTGGAACTTGGGG